AGATAACTGGGATCTTCTAAAAATCAAACACCTATGCTCTTCAAAAGACTTCACCAAAAGAGCAAAAAGAGAACCTACAGACTAGGAAAAAAATTTGGACATTACAAGTCAGACAAATTTCTAATCTCCATAATCTACAAGAAAATCCAACACCTCTACAACAAAAAGACAAATAAACTGATTAAAAAATGGGCAAAGGAAATGAACAGACACTTCACCAAAGAAAACATTCAAGCCGCCAACAGACACATGAGAAAATGCTCGCGATCACTAGCCATTAGAGAAATGCAAATTAAAACCACAATGAGATACCATCTCACGCCATCATTACTGGCAGGAATCAAAAACACCGGAAATAAAAAATGTTGGAGAGGCTGCGGGGAGATCGGAACTCTTATGCACTGCTGGTGGGAATGCATAATGATACAACCGTTTCGGAAAAGGGTATGGCACTTCCTTAGAAAGCTAGAAATAGAAATGCCATATGGTCCAGCAATCCCACTCCTAGGAATATAACCTATAAAAATAAGAGCCATCACACGAATAGAGATATGCACACCCATGTTCATGGCAGCATTGTTCACAATAGCAAAAAGATGGAAACAACCTAGATGCCCGTCAACAGATGAATGGATAAACAAACTATGGTACATACACACAATGGAGCACTATGCAACGAGAAAGAACAACAACGAATCTGTGAAGCATCTCATAACATGGATGAAACTGGAGAACATTATGTTGAGTGAAATAAGTCAATCACAAAAGGACAAATATTGTATGAGACCTCTATTGTAAAAACTGAAGAAAAAGTTTACACAGGAAAAGAATCTTTGTTGGTTACGAGGGATGAGAAGGGTGGGGGAAATACTAAATAGACAATAGATAAGTGGTAACTTTGGTGAAAGATAAGACAGTACACAATACTGGGGAAGCCAGCACAACTTTTGCAAGGAAAGGTCATGGAAGCTCCATAGACACATCCAAACTCCCCAAGAGACTGAATTGCTTGCGGGAGGGCTGTGGGGATCATGGTCTCGGAGAACATCTAGCTCAATTGGCATAACACAGTTTGTAAAGACAATGTTCTATATTCTACATTGGTGAGTAGTGTCTGGGGTCTTAAAAGCCTTTAAGGAGCCATCTAAGTTACTCCACTGGTCTCACCCGTTCAGGAGCAAGGGAGAATGAAGAGAATAGGGTACAATGAAAAGATTTGTCCAGAGGACTAATGGACCACAGCTACTAAGGCCTCCACCAGACTGAGTCCAGTACAGCTAAATGGTGCCCAGCTACCACCCCTGACTTCTCTGACCAGAATCACACCAGAGGGTTCTGGACAGAGCTGGAGAAGCATGTAGAACAAAATTCTAACATACACACACAAAAAAGACCAGATTTACAGTCTGACAGAGACTAGAGAAACCCCAAGAGTACGGCCTCCGGACACCCTTTTAGCTCAGTGGTGAAGTCCTCCTGAGGTTCACAGTTCATCTGGGGATTGGGCTGCCCCATAAAACAAAACTGGACTAATGAGGGACATCAGTCCAGGGACAAGGACTAGAAGGCAGAAGGGGACAGGAAAGCTAGTGATAGGAAACCCAAGTTTGAGTAAGGACAGTGTTGACATGTAGTGGGGTTCTTAACCTTTGTCATAGGGCAATATGTGCACTAACTGTTTAATGAGAAACTATTTTGTTCTGTAATCCTTCACCTAAAGTTAGAATAGCAGCACAACTGAAAGAACATAGTCGATGTCACTGAACTGTACATGTAGAAATTTTTGAGATGGTGTATCTTTGGTTATGTATATTTTCACAAAAAAAAAGGGTCCTCCAAGACGGAGAAGGGACCGTATTGACATGTCATGGGGTTGTTAACCAATGTCATAAAACAATATGTGTACTGACTGTTTAATGAGAAACTATTCTGTAAATTTCATCTCAAGTACAAAAAAAAAAAAGAAAAATGAAAAAAAAACTGTGCTTCTAATTTTTTAAGCTAATTATTGCAGTTGACAAGTCCTAAAGCCTGTATCCACGTACCAAATACTCTTTAAGTATTTGCCAGTTTATAGATACTCATCAATCCTTGAGATAATGGGCATTTCAAAAAATTACTGTTTTTAAGTGGCTGTAACAAAACAAATTTTATTTGTCCACCTATTTTTAGTACAATGGTATTCTAGAAGTTTGTTCGGAGGTTATATTTATCATAATAGAGTTTGTCTTTAATTAAAACTTTGAATACTCTATCACATTTTTTTAGCCATGCCCCAAAGGATTAGAAAAAAGTTACATAATAAAGTGCCATCAGTGAACAAAATGAGACTTCATATCTTCAGGAGAATTCAGGAAGATTACAGATAGAATTTGTTAGAAATTACATAATGATGCTAGTAACAACACTGAAAACTGTACTGGCTTAAACAAGGTGATTTTCTAAGTTTTTTTTTTTTTTTTTTTTTTTTTTCCCGTCCAGAACTAGGGAGTCTGTGGCTGGCATGACTATCATCATCTTTGACTCAGGCTCCTTCTATCTTACTGCTCTACCATGATCCAAGACGGCTTCCAGAATTCAAACTCATATACTAGACAGGAAGTAGGAAGTAGGAAGAGCGAAAATGACCTAGAAGAGCTCTACTGTTCTTTTAAGAAGCTTTTCTGAAAGTGTCATCCAACATATTCACTTCTATCTCGGTGGTGAGATCCTAATCACATAGACACAGCAAGATTGCTTACGAAATATTGTCTTTTGGCTTGGTACATTTATCCAGTAAATAAAATCAGGGTTGTGTTACTAAGAAAGAAAGGAAGAACGGATATTGAGAAGACAACTAGCCGTCATTACCACAAATGTAAATTTCAGAAGTAAAGGAGAACAAAACACCTCTGATAGAAATAAACATAAAATCAAAGTTCAATGAGAGGCAAACCGTAATGTCTACGGAAGATAATGTGAACACATCTCAAAAAGGAATTGGAACATATAATGTAGGTAGCAATGTGGTTGGAAATAAGGTAATCTGAATGGTCAATGGAACCTCAGAAAAAAGGAATTAGAGACATCAAAAACATCATACATAAAGAAAGCAAGAAGTCATTAAAAAGACAGAAAAGAAAGAAAAGACCAAAATGGATGTCAGAAGAAACTGAAACTTGCTCGTGAATGTTAAGTAGCTAGAGAAAAAGGGGGAAAAAATGATGAAGTCACAGAGCCGAACAGAAGATTTCAAAGGGTGGCTCAAGAAGACGAAGTAAACTATTATAATGACATGTGCAAAGAGCTTGAGATAGAAAACCAAAAGGGAAGAACACACTTGATATTTCTCAAGCTGAAAGAACTGAAGAAAAAATTAAAGCCTCAAGTTGCAATAGTGAAAGATTCCACGGGGAAAATATTAAACAATTCAGGAAGCATCAAAAGAAGATGGAAGGAATACACAGAGTCATTATACCAAAATGAATTGGTCAACCTTCAACCATTTCAGGAGGTAGAATATTATCAGGAACTGATGGCACTGAAGGAAGAAGTCCAAGTTGCACTGAAGGCATTGGCAAAAAACAAGGCTCCGGGAATTAATGGAATACCAAGGGAGATGTTTCAACAAACGGAAGCAGCACTTGAAGTGCTCACTTGTCTATGCCAAGAAATTTGGAAGACAGCTACCTGGCCAACTGACTGGAAAAGATCCATTTTTATGCATAGTCCCAAGAAAGGCAATCCTATCAAATGTGGAAATTATCAATCAATATCATTAATATCACACATAAGTAAAATTTTGCTGAAGATCATTCAAGGGAACTGCCAGAAGTTCAACCCAGAGTCATAAGAGGATGTGGAAGCAGGGATATCATTGCTGATGTCACATAGATCCTGGTTGAAAGCAGAGAAAATCAGAAAGATGTTTACCTGCATTTTATTGAAGTAAAAGACATTCGACTGTGTGGATCATAACAAATTATGAATAACATTGTAAAGAATGGGAATTCCAGAACACTTAATTATGCCCGTGAGGAAACTGCACATAGATCAAGAGGCAGTAGTTCAAATAGAACAAGGGGATACTGCGTGGTTTAAAGTTAGCAAAGGTTTTATCCTTTCACCATACTTATTCAATTGGTACGCTGAGCAAATAATCCGAGACGCTGGACTATATGAAGAAGAACTGGACATCAGGATTGGAGGAAGACTCATTAACAACCTTTGTTATTCAGATGACACATCCTTGCTTGCTGAAAGTGAAGAGAACTTGAAGCACTTATTGATGAAGATCAAAGACTGCAGCCTTTGGTATGGATTACACCTCAACATAAAGAAAACAAAAATTCTCACAACTGGACCAATAAGCAACATCATGATAAACTGAGAAAAGATTGAAGTTGTTAAGGATTTCATTTTGCCTGGATCCACAGTCAACACTCACAGAAGCATCAGTCAAGAAATCAAAAGATGCATTGCATTGGGCCAATCTGCTGCAAAAGGCCTCTTTAAAGCATTTGAAAGGAAAGATGTCACCTTGAATACTAAGGTGTGTCTGACCCAAGCCATGGTGTTTTCAATAACCTCATATGCATGTGAAAGCTGTAGAAGAAATAAGGACGATCGAAAGAAAGAACCGATGCCTTTGAATTGTGGTGTTGGACAAGAATATTGGACTGCCAAAAGAATGAACAAATCTGTCTTGGAAGAAGTACAATCAAAATGCTTTTTAGAAGCAAGGATGACAAGACTACATCTCACATACTTTGGACATGTTATCAGGAGGCATCAGTCCCTGGAGAAGGATGGTTGAAGGTTGACCAATTCATTTTGGTATAATGACTCTGTGTATTCCTTCCATCTTCTTTTGATGCTTCCTGAATTGTTTAATATTTTCCCCGTGGAATCCTCCACTATTGCAACTTGAGGCTTAAATATTTTCTTCAGTTCTTTCAGCTGGAGAAATATCAAGTGTGTTCTTCCCTTTTGGTTTTCTATCTCAAGCTCTTTGAACATGTCATTATAATAGTTTACTTCGTCTTCTTGAGCCACCCTTTGAAATCTTCTGTTCGGCTCTGTGACTTCATCATTTTTTCCCCCTTTTTCTCTAGCTACTTAACATTCAAGAGCAAGTTTCAGTTTCTTCTGACATCCATTTTGGTCTTTTCTTTCTTTCCTGTCTTTTTAATGACTTCTTGCTTTCTTTATGTATGATGTTTTTGATGTCATTCCACAACTCATCTCATCTTTGGTCATTAGTGTCCAATGCATCAAATATACTCTTCAGGTGGTCTCTAAATTCAGGTAGGATATATTCAAGGTGGTACTTTGGCTATCATGGATTTATTTTAATTTTGCTCAGTTTCAGCTTGAACTTGCATATGAATAATTGATGGTCTGTTTTGCAGTCTGTCCCTGGCCTTGTTCTGACTGATACTTTTGAGCTTTTCTATCATATCTTTTCACAGATGTAGTACTCTGTTCTGATCCTTTTTATTTCAGTTGAGTCTGTTGTAATGTCCTCCATTTCATTCCTTATTTGGGTTATTTGCATCCTCTCCCTTTTTTGTCAGTCTGGCCAGTCGTTTGTTGATTTTGATCCTTTCAAAGAACTAACTTCTGTTTTTGTTGATTCTTTCTATTTTTTTCTATTCCTATTTCATATATTTCTGCCCTGATCTTTATTATTTCCTTTCTTCTAGTGGGTGTGGGCCTTTTTTTGCTGTTCTCTTTCTATTTGTTGGAGTTCTGTAGTTAATGTTTTATTTTGTCCCTTTTTTTGATATGTGCATATGTTGCTATAAATTGTCCTCTGAGGACTGCCTTTGCTGTGTCCCAAAGATTTTGGTATGATGTGTTTTCATTCTCATTTAATTCTAGAAATTTTTTGATTCCATCTCTGATTTCTTCTGTTACCCAGTGATGTTTAAGCAGGGTGATATTCAGTTTCCATGTAACTGATTTTTTCTCCTTGTTCTTCCTGTTGTTAATTTCTACCTTAAGCGTTGTGGTCAGAGAATATACTTTGTATTATCTCAATGTTTTGGATCTTGTTAAGGATTGCTTTGTTCCCTAAGATGTGGACTATTCTGGAGAACATGCTATGTGCATTGGAAAAGAATGTGTACTTTGCAGCTGTTGGATGGAGTGTTCTATATATGTCTCTGAGGTCAAGTTGGCTGATTGTGCCCTTAGGTCTTCTGTATCTTTGTTTAGTTTCTTTCTAGATGTTCTGAACTTTAATGAGAGTGCTGTGTTGAAGTCTCCTACTATTATTGTGGAACTGTCAGTTTCTCTTTTCAGTGCTGTTAGAGTTTGTTTTATGTATTTTGGAGCCCTGTCATTGGTGTGTAGATGTTTATTATGGTTATGTCTTCATGATGGATTGTCCCCTTAATCAGTATATAGTGACCTTCTTTGTCTTTTTTGGTGGATTTTGCTTTAAAGTCTATTATATCTGAGATTAGTATTGCCACTCTAACTCTTTTTTGTTTGTTGTTTGCTTGATGTGTTTTTTTCCCTCCTTTGATTTTTAATAAATTTATGTATTTTTTTCTAAGGTGTGTCTCTTGTAGACAGCAGATTGATGGATCCTGCTTTTTTATCCATTTTGTCATTCTCCATTTCTTTATGGGTGCATTTAGGCCATTTACAATCAGTGTAATTACTGATAGGTGTGAGTTTATTGCTGTCATTTTGTAGTGCTTTTGTTTTTTTCTGGTGCAGATGTTTTGTTTGTTCCTCTTACTCTCCTGTGCTGTATTCCTTTTGTATGTGGATTTTTTTCATTTCTTTTGTTTTTGTAGGTTTTTTTATTACTGAGACTTTTTTTGTTGTTTGTTTATTTTGATGAGAAGTTTTGTTAACTTTCTTTGTGTTTACCTTGAAATTTACCTGTATCTTCCTAGGTTTGAACCAGTCTATTATTACTTGATATCACCTTGCCTTCCTCTCTATTAGAAGGTTCTATACCTACACCGCTTATTCCCTCTTTTATTGTTCTGATGTTGTTGTCGTTTACAGATTAACCTCTCTGGTTCCCTGTTGTAATTCTTTCCATTTTGAATAGTCCTTAAGAGTTCATTTCCTAGGTTGGTATCTGGCTAGTACAATCCTGTGTCCTATATTCAGTTTGTGGTCTGATATTGTTTGTTCTCAGATAGAAGGACTCCCTTTAATAAGTCTTGTAAGTTTGTTTTGGTTTTTACATATTCCCTTAATTTGTGTTTATCTGGAAATGCCCTAATTTCACCATCATTTCTGAACAAGAGTTTTCTGGGATATATTATTCTTGACTGGCAATTTTTATTCTTTCAAGGTTTTATATATGTCATTACATTGCCTTCTTGCCTACATGGTTTCTGCCGAACAATTCTAGATTAGTCTTACTGTTTCTCCTCTGTATGTGACTTTTTGTTTTTCTCGAGCTGCTCTCAGGATTCTTTGTTTGTCTTTGGTTTGGGCGAGTGTGATTATGTTATGCCTTGGTGATATTCTTTTGGGGTCTATCCTATATAGGGTTCATTGAACTTCTTGGACGGTCAGGTTTTCATCTTTCATGATATTGTGGAAGTTTTCTGTCAGCAGTTCTTCAGTGATCCTTTCTGTGTTTTCTTTTTTCTCCTCCTGTTCTGGAACTCTAATCACTTGCAGATTTTTGCTCTTGATTGTATCCCTCATAATTTTCAGGGTTTCTTCATTTTTCTTCATTCTTTTTTCTGATTTTTCCTCAAACAGAGTTGTAGCCAAGTGTTTGTCTTCAATTTCTCTGATCCTGTTTTCCATCGTTTCAAATCTGTTCCTCAGCTCTTCTAAGAAACTGTCCATTTCTGAAATCTTGTTGTTTATCTTTTGGATTTCTAATAGTTGTTTTTGTATGATTTCTAGTTGGAATTTATTTTAGAATTTTGTTCCTGTATTATTTTCTTGAATTCTTCCAGTTTTTGTCTGTATTTTCAATGAATTTTTCTGCCATTTCCATGAATTTGTCTATTTTTTCACCATTTTGTCTGCTTTTTCCTTCAACTCTTGGGTAATT